CTGGAATCACAGAACAGTTGAAGTTGGCAAGATCTTTGGGTGACACTGCTCCAACCTCTGCTCCAGCAGGGCCACCCAGAGTAGTTGGTCCAGGCCTATGTCTACGTGGCTTTGGAAGATCTCTCATTTGTAAGACATCTGTCTTATAAATGAATTATCACCTGTAAAGTAGTTTATGGGGTGTCACTGAGTAGATAGGTATGAAACAGACATACATACATGCAGGTATTCATTGTAGGTAAGATGGGACAGTTTGCACTTGTGTTAACTCTATCATTATATGATAGATTTGGAAAGATATAGGGGAAGGAAAATTGTCATGATATTCAATCTACTTAATAGTGGCAATGGGATTACACAATAGTGTCTGCACAGCTGAATACAGCAACACAAATGCTATCCTCCATTTATTCTGTGAAATTGTTGTCATATCTTACCATAAATATTCAGGACTTCAGACTTCCATACATCATAAGAAAAAGAACAGCTGGTAGCTTGCAGTGTACTGTGATGACAGCTTTGAATATGCAATGAATAAACTGCTGAGGCAGTATTTCTGGGGAGCAAGTCAACTGAAAGACATACCCCTTCTGTAGACAATTGGCCTGCCACATATTTTAAGATACTGTTCCTAGACACTCAAAAATATGCCATGGGCACTGGAGATACAGTATTTTGCAAAACCTATGTGATCATGTTAGAGGTTGGGCACAAAGTCATCAAATTAGGGGAGAAGTTTCATAACTGCCTTGTTAAAATAGATGTCAATAAAACATAAGGAGACAGTGATGTACAGAAATATTCAATGTAAAAAACTCAGTGTATTTTAAAATCATTTAAAAATCATTTTAACATATTTATTTAAACAGTTAAGTATATAAAAGTTCCTCCTTTTAAATTCTTTCTTGAAAAATTTAGTGATGTCAGTCTTACCTGCATTCATCCCAGTTACATCATGTTTCTCTATTCACAATATAAAAATTGTCTTTCAGTTTGTCAGCTGAAGCAGCCTTTCAGCTCACACTTTGTCATTTGTTTTATTAACCTCTCTCACTTTGTAGCCTTTTGATCAACTCCTCTTCTTCATTTTTTATGCATCCACTTTATTTCTCATTAGTGTCCATATCTCTGTCTCTTACTTCACACATATATAAGATTTTAATTTTCAGTTGTTTGGGACCTTTTTATTACTTAGAAGTAGTGTCGCATCTGTGGCTCCACAAGGTCTGCACCGATGCCTGATACCAGCTGACATGTATCTAGGCTTTTCTGTTCAGTAGTGCAACAATCTTTAATAAGTCTGGATTGTATAAGAGATGTGCAGTGTAATACCCTGTTGTTCGGGTGCAATACTATCCCTGATCAAACTTCAGCAGTTCCAGGTAGGTAACTTCTCTTAGTCCTTTTCAAAGTGCCCCAGAACACAGCAGCATCTCAACTAAGCAATGATCAATACACAGTATAAAGTTTTCTGTATGTTGAGTAGTGGATGATGCAAAACTGTGTTCACCTACTGACATTTGACACAAAATATGTGTCATATATTGGTCACCTTCTAGTCTGAGTGTCAGCATACCAACTGGAATGCTTCATCTAGTACAGGTGGTTTCCAGGTGCATTCATTTCTTGTCAAAGCTCCTGTTCCTTTTCACATTAGTGAATTATTTAGGTTCACTGTATATATCACTCTAGCAATGTAATGATTCCAAGCCTTCTCATGCGGTTCATTCATTTATTTGCAATATACTACATTTGTTTCTAATGCAAATTCTTGCTCCTTTCAAGTCCGTGTTGTTTTTCCTCTTACCTTGAAAATTCATGGATGAATCTCTTTTCTTCCTCTGCGTGTAAATTTTGAGACATCAGAAAATTCTTCACTGACTACAGCTAAGCTACTGTAGTGATTTTTCTAGTATGCTTTTTAAATCCGTATGCTATCTTTTCATATTAAGCATTTGGCTGACTTCTCAGTGTATTTTCTTTTTGTGATAAATAACTTGGTGTTTTTTTTGTGCAAAGAAAAATCAAACTCAATTTTTGCCCAAGCACACCCATCGGTGCTGAGAAAATAGACGTATCTTGGGCCATTTTTGGATCAGCTGACTACTACTTGCAGTACTGTTCATCCCGTGAGTTTGTGAGTACTTCTCCTGTGGAGGGTTTTTACAGCTATTTGAAAATTTAACAGCCTTAGCCTTTACAGCTTTTTTGATGTTTTGGGAGTCCTTGTCCCTTGAAGTCTTTGACTAGAATTCTTTTACAGCTCCCCAGCATAATTATTCACATAATATTATGCTACAGTAGCTCAAGTCTGATTATTTAAGTGGCTGAGTAGGATGTTTCATGAAAAATGTCTTCTATAAGCATAGCTTTGTACTTGACATTTCTGCTCATATATAAAAGCCATTAAACAAGACAGTAATTCTTCTCTTCAGGCTCAGTGCAGTTATCATCTGTGTGAGTCCTATTGACTACATAAGGACTTTCCATATCTGTCAAGATTGTAGGACTGGATTCCTGTCTTCCTATTTTGGAGACAATTTAAGCCCTGTTCAGCAGTAGCTGCTTGTGTCACGGAGCAGAATACATATCCTGTGCTAAGTGGTGAGGTCCACACAGCTTATTGCTCATCCCTCTCCACTGAAAACCAGAAACCCATCCTGTTTTGTCCTCCTCATCACTTTTCCTGCAAATCAATGAATGTCAGAACATACTGTGAATAAGAATTAATAGAACAACACAATGTGATATATATTTTTTTTAAGTGAATGCAAGAAATATGAGTTTGCTGCTATTCCACTTGCTTGGTTGTTTCACTAGCTGTAATAAAGGTTCAGAACTGTAGTGAACTATTATGTAAGTAACAGGGAGCTTCTTTACTTGGTATTACCCTTGGAAAATCTATAGATTAGTTTTAAAGTATCATTTGTAAGTATCTGCCAATTGTCTTGCTATTTGAAGTCTCTGGGCTTTTTTTTGGTCTTCAGTCTGATTCACCTGAGGGGACTGCCATCTCTGTAAGCCATTCACTGTGTCAAGAGAAATGCTCGTGGAAGTTAATAAATGTAAGAGAATTAGAGAAAACCTGCATTTCCCCTGTGATTTCTGGGACTTCATTTCTTCTGCCCGTAAAGATTAAGGTTTTAGTATTTACCATGCAAGTCCATCTTTATAAAAGAACATCTTGTTTTGATTATTTAGAACCTGGAGTCACAAAGGCTACCTTGTAATTAGATATATGTTGGTAGAAATGGAAAATGTATTGTAGTAGTCAGAATCTCCAGGGGAAGGTTTCTTATAAAAAGTCTATTGAATTTATTCATATGTGAAAAGAACAGTCAATATCTGAGATATGCAATGTCAATAAAAGTGAAATGTATTAACATACAGTCTATGTTACAGAGCATGGCCCTGCCAGTTAGAATATTTCAGCTTTGTTTCACAAAGCTACTGTGTGCTTTTAAAAACATAATCTCTAAAGGAAAATACAATTGATCTCTTAAAAACAGAACTCCCAGTCATAAGAATGAATAGTTTAATAAAAGGTGTAAGATAAGGTTTATATATATATATGTTTTAGATTGCATATTAGAAATGAAAGGTGAAATATGTGTAATGTTTTTCATCACTGTGAATGTGGATGAGAGGATTGTTTTATGACATTCATGCTTGTGGGGATTCTCTGTCATCCCAATAGTGGCAAAATCTACCCAGCTGTCTGTTTGCTATTTTGGTTTGGATAAAAGATAGCATTTTAAAAAGTGATAAGGTAGAAAAAATATGGCAGAGCATTATTCCATTAACTCGATACCCTGTTAATAAACATCTAGCTTACTGAAGTACTTATCTGCACTAGCTTACTACCAAATCCTAGATCAGTGGCAAATAGTGGAATTTTTATTTGCCAGTTCTTCAGGGTTTGTATTATCTGCTTCTATTGCCACTAATAAACCACCAATAATAATTCAGAAAGAAAATGCCTCCTGGGGAGATACGTATCCCTTAGGGGCTGTAGTGCTACACATAGCATAATATCCAGTTTCATGTCTATTCTCTGATGAGAAAGTTCTACCAGAAGCTTTCTACTTGCTGACAACACGTTAGTAGAAACGTGTTCCTTTCATTGCCTAGCTCTAAAACTTCCAAGTCATGTATTGACACAAATTGGTGGAACAGTTGGATTGAATTTTCTTCAGTTTGTTACCTCCTTCCTATTCAGTGTAGATCTGTTTGTATTCCTGTTCAAGGAATCAGTGAACAACATCAAAATCCCAAGTGCTGTCAATGTGTTTACTTCATTAGAAATATCACTGTCTCATAGTGAAAAAAATCACGCTTATAAATTTTAAATGCGCCTTCTATGAATATTTGCTAACACTAACTTTAAACATCTCACTTGTTTTCTATACTGTTTGTGGAAAAGGATGAGTTAAAGTAATTCAAGTGAGTTTGAAATGTTTATTCATAGAATGATGGTAAATTACCGCTATGAGCCAAATTTTAGGAGTTTCAGATGCTCCTGTGGAAAAAAGCAGATGTTTAACTCCCAGCAGTAGCTCTGTAGCTATTTACTTTTGTCTTTTTCTACCCTGCACCTGTGAGACTGAAATGAATTGAAGAGTTTTGCTCACATTCAAATGCGAGTTGTTTCACATTTTGTACAAGGACTTCATTAAACACATTTGCAAAGTCTCTTTCTTTCGCTGTGGATCTATTTAGTGATTAACAGAATTTGTTTATAGAAAGGGAATTTTTAGAAGGCTGTCTACCACGCTTTACATAGCTGTTCCTATCACACTGCCTGTTTCTCAAAGAGGGTCAATAAAGGTACATGTTGTTTGCAATAAAGGTAACTGTGAATGCGCCTGCGTTCACTTGCGCACGCACACAGTCCTAATATCTTCATTATTGTTTTTCCATGTACATTGCCAATCTTTCCCATTTTTCAAGCACAGCATGATGATTCCTGTCATCCTCTGTTTGTTTCACTTGCTCTTCAGGTCTCCTGTGATGGCTGGAGGTCTATTTGCCGTTAACCGGAAGTGGTTTTGGGAGCTGGGAGGCTACGATCCAGGATTAGAAATATGGGGAGGAGAGCAGTATGAAATCTCCTTTAAGGTAAGACATCATGTCTTATGTAATACTTACGTACTACGTAATACTTCTTTACTTGTTAGGTTTTGTGCCTCTGGATTTTCATTTCTTCATGCTTTATGGTCCTGGTAAGTTCACTAATACTTAATTTTGTGTTTTAACTACAAAGAATTTAGTACGGTTCTTTTTCTTTAGGAATTTCTCCAAATTTCAAACAGAACTATGCCATAAACGTGTGCTTCAAAAACTATACAAAAATCACTGAGTGCAGTTTTCTCCAAGTGGTAGAAGTTTACCACCATCGTGAAGCTTTACTTTGTCCCTTGTATCAAGTCTTCTCTACTTACCTTCCATCAGACGTTGCACCTACTGAACTCCATCATGTTGAAGGTAGGCCCTTATAGGGTCAGCTCATGGAAAGAAAAAAAGAAAGTCATAGGAAGGAGAACCCTTTTCAACACAATCACTAGATCACCTTAGTTCTTATGAGCTGTTATTGGCAGGCTGGGTTTTCAAAATCAGTTGATTTTTTTAACTGTGTTTGGATAGTTAAATTGATAAAATTGTAATGTCAGAGAGTTTTCAAGTGCTGAGGTTATGTACAATCAGCAATCTTACATCCTCTATGTGGACATGTGTATTCAAATCAGTTGTTTGGCTTTTACATGCTGAGTTCAAAGTCACTACCTTTTGTTACCTTTTACATGTCAGACAGGTATTTCCATTAGTTTAATGAGGTCTACATGCATAATTTTGAAAATTCATTTTCTTTTGTTCCAGTTTACCCAAAATTAAGAACTTTACCTAATGCAAATGTTTTCAATTAGCTAATACAATTTCATTATATAAATGAATTGAGTCAAACATGTATGGATAAAGTTTGGATTTTTAATCAGAATTTACATTAAGCTTCAGGATCTTTCCATCCTGCTTCCAAACTCCTACAGCGTAAAGCTCAGTAAATAAATTTAGTATGTCAATCATACTAAAGCATATCGTACATATTGCTTCATCTGAATTTCTGCAGTGATTAAAACAACAGAGCTACTGCCATTCTATTGAATGAAACATACACCATGATCCTACACTGGACTCCCAGACTGTCTTTATTATGAGAGTTATCAAAACTAGAAAAATTGTTTGTATTAACTGAACTACTCTCTAAATCATTTTTACACACAGCAAAATAAAATTGGAAGGCAAGGGAAATCCAATAGTTAGAAATCATGTTTAGAATATATCAATTTACATTCTATCCAGATAAGTCATTTCAAAGTCAAATGTAAGTATTCATTTGCAGCTGTAACAAGAGTTTCTGACAGGTCACCTAAGATTTTATTATCCTATTCCATATATTCTTTATATTTGTCATCACAAAGAATAAAATTGTAATGCAGTCCACTCTTTGTATAGAAACCATGGTAACAGCACTAGAAACTGAGATACTGGAGTACCCCAGTATGTTTTGCTTAAGCAATAGATTTTTTCTGTAGCCAGCTGTGTCACACTGGGTCTCATTTCAGTCAGATCTTCTGAGTCATCCCATTAGTACACACTAACCTTAACGTCCCTGTCTTTTTAATTAATATTAAAAAAGAAGAAAGAGAGGGATTGCCTAATAGAAACAGCTTTATACTGGAAGAACTCAACCTATGCAAGCTTCAGAAAGAAAGACTTGTTTTGTTTGGAATGACAGAAAATGGAAGAAAAATCAATGAGACAGGAGAGAGAGACGGGACAGACTTTTTTGTTAGACCAGAATCATCAGTATCAGCTTGATTTGGTGCATCAACAATTTCTACATCAAGAGCTACAAATTCAGTCATCTTGAAACATTTTGAAGTGACAACAAATTATTCAGTTTAATTTAGTATTCTATTTACAAACTTGAGAGATTGATGGACTAGCCATCTCTGTTATTCATAAAGTCAGTGAAGAAAACAGATTACCAGCCTGTGTGAGACCTTTACTTGAGTGCGTGGGAAACTATATCTTAGAGTCCTTAGGACAACCAGTGGTATGGTTTGTGGAAGTGTTGTATCGTGAGTGCTTTGCGTCCATACTATTATTTAGTATTAATGCTATTTTGTTTGGCAAATAATTATTTGGAGCACAGTGCTGCAATAAACTCTCTCCATAATATCTATAAACACCAGTTCCCAGTCATTTCTTCAATTCAATTAGATCTTAAGTATTCTGTGAAAATATGTTTTTTCCATTAAAAGCTGCAGAAAGAAGCCAACTAGAATGTCCCATAACTATACAAAGTTCATCTTCAAAGGACTATTTCAGGCTGGTCTTTAAACTCAGTGATGGACTTGGTGTTCCTTTCATGTTCTTCACATCATCTTGTTTTTAACTATCAGATTATTTTTTATGAAAGTTGCTACATAACTGTAAACAAGCAAATGACCCAGCTACTATAAATGGATACCTTACGTGATAATATGACCTTCCCTGTGTCAGACTTGGGATCCTTTTGATTAATTCAAATACAGTGACATAATTATGAGAGAGAGCATGACAGAGAGAGCTGTCACAGACTCTCTAGAAGGAAGCAGTGTCTGGTTCACACTGAACTAACAGCCTATGCCAGCTTCATGAAGTTCAACACAGACAAGTGCAAGGTCCACAAGGATCAGGGCCATCCCAAGCACAAATACAGGCTAGGTGGAGAATTGAGAGCAGCCCTGTGGAGAAGGATTTGAGGGTATCAGTTGATGAAAGACTCAACATGAGCCAGCAATGTGCTCTTGCATCCTAGAAGGCCAACCGTATCCTGAGTTACATCAAGAGAAACATGACTAACCAGTCGGGGGATTCTGTCCCTCTATTCAGATCTTGTGAGACCCCAGCTGGAGTACTGCATCCAGTTTTGGAGCCTCCGACATAAGAAGGACATCAAGCTGTTGGAGAGGGTCCAGAGGAGGGCCACAAAGATGATCAGAGGGATGGAGCACCTACACTCTAAGGATGGGCTGAGAGAGCTGGAGCTTTTCAGCCTGGAGAAGTAAAGGCTTCAGGGGGATCTTATAGCAGCCTTTCAGTACTTAAAGAGGGCCTACAAGAAAGCTGTGGAGGGGCTTTTTAGAAGGGCGTGTAGCAACAGGATGAGGAGAAATCGATTTAAACTTGAAGAGAGTAGATTTACCCTAGATATAAGGAAGAAATTATTTACTTGAGGGTGTTGAGACATTGGAACAAGTTGCCCAGAGTTGTTGTGGTTGCCCCCTCTCTGGAAGTATTCAAGACCAGGCTGGATGGGGCTTTGAGCAACCTGATCTAGTGGGAGGTGTCTTTGCCTATAGCAGGGTGTAAACCCACATACCAAAGGGAAAAGATTACTTGATATTAAGATCATATTCAGAAAAGGCATCTTCGCACCCAAAGATCTCTGTGTTACTGTACCATGGTTATCCAAAGTCACCCCACAGTCTAAATGAGAGAAGTGTTGGCTACAAAGCAGGTGTGTAGCTGTGAGCGCAGAGTATGGGCTTGGACAGCTGGAGAAGTTGGATGTTTGAGAAATGCATAATGGCTACATCAGTGCTAGTATCAGGACTCAGTTAAATAGTCCTCAAATGGCCTCAAGTCCTTCAATCTAAGGCTTCATCCACTTCTTCATCGCGATCTTACTATCAGCTACTCTGCTATGTGAATTGAAGGCTGGTGCAAGAGTCATCAGGCACATGCTAACGCCAGCAAACCATATGGCTTTATGAATTTAAGATGCTAAGGCAGAGATTGAAGACTGGTTAAAAAAACCGTACAGTAAAATTATAACAGGACAAGTGGTTGAACGGGGAGTCAGACTGCAGTTCATGACACAGAGAGGTTGAAACACATTTAGGAAAGGTTCTCCCTCTTGGAGGGACAGTGTCTGTTTTGATGTTTCTTACTGGCTGTTTCATTAGATTTGACCTGGGATAAGGCACGAGGATTCGATGCAGAGCAGTCCTAACCAAAAGTCTTTTTCTGTGGGGGAAGTTGCGTTATCTCACTACACATGGACAGAAGGTTGAGCAAAAATTTGGTTTTGTGTGTTCTCTAAAAGAACAAAAGATTCTACACAGAGTGGATCTACACTGAAGCTAAATTTACAGCACAGCAATTCATTAAGTTTCTCCAAAATACAGTAAGCCTCCTAATGTTTCTGTGATATTTGAATCTATGCAGTAGCATGAAAGGAAACTTCCCCAAACTTCAAACAAACTTCTATTCCAGGTGCTGAGTTGTTAAGAGCACAGCTTTCTGTTTTGTTCTGCTTAACAAAAAGGCTGCTTATTAAGTTTGCCTGACCTTTATTTCCTCAGGGAAACCAATGTATTTCTGTCTTGCTCTTGCCTAGTAACATTACTGTGGAGGACAGTAGCAATTGTAGAACTGGGTGCTGCACTGATGGACTGCTGTTTCCAAATCAGAGCATTCATGCACAAATCCATGGATGGTGAAGCAGTCACAACCTGTGTCTCAAAATATGACCCCTTCATTAAAAAGTTTCTTAGATTAATTTTTGCAAAAGAAATAATGTGCAGTATTTTAATTTTTTTTTGGCAGCATAACCTCAGGATCAATTTTTTAATTAAAAAGATGTATGGTGTCTTGCTGATGATACTGTTCAGGGTATGCTTAACTTGAGAAAACTGTCAAAGCACTGGAACTGACCTGATGAATAGTTTCCTTTCTCATTAACCAGGGAAGTCACTATTTAGGAAATCCTAAATTTAAATCTGTTAGAAAGGCACAGTTTATGTAGTAATTTCCAAAATATATTGAGTGGTGAAAGATATTCATTTCCTGTGTTTGCTGAAGATCCTTTATGCTAGACATTCCTTAGGCATACACATAAATCATACCTTAACAGAAATGCTCATGCTGATACCCTTACCTCTTTGAAGCCAGTCACCTATCTCTAAGGTTTTATCCTTATGCATGCTGACGTATCCTCCAGATTCTATTTATCCCTTTTTTTTTTTTTTTCCAACACACACCTCCAAGTTTATTAATCCCTTTCTTTACTATCA